TAAAAATATTCTCTAAATAGGTCGATGCTGGGCTCCTCTTGAAGGTATACTTTACAGAAGACTTGAAAGTTACAGATATTTGACACGGAGTTGGGTCCGATGTCTTGAGGATGGAGTTGGAAGAAGTGCAGAGCATCTCAGAAAAATTTAGAGTTGGGCGGTGAGAAGCCCCGGTTCATGTGATCAGTGAATACAATGGCTTCGCCATCCTTTGGCTGAGGTCTTTCCTCGCCCGGTTCAGGGGCGCGGTAATGCATAACACTCTTTGTAGGCAAGTACCCGACTTTGACAAAGTCTTTGAAGGTGGATATGTGATGGCGTGAGCGCCTCGATTTTCGGAAGGGTCAGTTAAGAAAAAGATTTATTTGGGTCGTGTGTCGTATTAATTATAGGTGACGTCACGGCGGGTTACCGCAATTTCCGGAGAGATGTCATGGCGTGTTACAGCATGGCACATGAAGATGAAGAAGGATTTTTTTATAAATGTTGAAGATTGATATGAACAAGTTTAAAACAACCTGGGGCCTAATGTTAGGAATATAACTATCAGATATGACCTGCCCAGGTGGGGCCGGGTCATCCATTATGGCGGTTCATCTAAATGAAGACCAAGAATATACTAAGATGGCGGTTCATAGATAGGCTTGGTAAAAGGCCCAAGTCTGGGGGTGGCTTAAGGCCCGTAAGTGTAAACCGTCATGTATATGTAAACTTGTATTGTAAGGCATGTAAGATAAGTTGTCGAGTCGGACACGTTTGTATGAGCCGGCCGGGACTCTGTAGGCCGCAGGGCGTCAACCCATGTATATAAGGGGACGACCCCGCAGCGTCTTAGGGCAAGAAACAACAAGTCGAAAGTCAGGCAAAGCGTATTTGCTACCTGGTAATCGAAACCCTAGCAATACCACCTCAAACTGGAGTAGACCTTTACCTTCACCGCAAGGGGCCGAACCAGTATAAACTCTCTGTGTCCTTTGTCCCGTTCAACCCCTTTAAGCTAACCTCGTCGTAATGGCTCCACAACTAAGTCCTTCTACAAGGACATATGCCGTGACACTTCTACGACACTAAGTATGGATGATTTGTGCTATTTTCTATCCGAAGTTTGATGAATATTGACCGGTTTGCATGAATTTCGTTCGCTTAGTTCAAATGTGGGTTGAAATATATGCGGGCAGCGTTGCACTGGTCCCTTCTGATCATAGTCGGATGCAGGAGAAAATTTATGGGTCGGCATTGAAGATGCCCTAATCCTTCACTAGATCACACCCTTTCTCAACAGAGCGCGTTGTCAGATTGCTTGCATGTTGATGGTGCGGCGCCGGCGTGGCTCGACGACCATGGGCTCAAGTGAGGCTGTGCTCAGCAGCATCGGTGCACCAGTACGTTGGTTAGCATGGTTGTCCCTCTCCCGGCCTCAAGCGGCAAATTTGACCAGCGTTTCTCTCCGGAATCTGGCTTCGCCTGCGCCACGTACAAGTACAACACAGGACCCGCGCACAAGTGAAAGAAAAGAAAAGTCCAAAGAGAGAGATAACGTCTCACGGCGCACCCGGAAAAGATGGAGGAAGACTTTCCTTGGCGGGTACGTGTCCAGTGCCCTGCCAGAGGATAAAACCATCACCCCTTTTGCCCTTCTCGGTGGATTTTCTTGGAAAGTTCTTGTTGGGATGACCAACCAAACCCTGAACCGCAAGGTATGTACGTATCCTGCATCCCATGTGACCGCCCTTCTGTAAAGGTTGAAAGCGCACAAAAGAAGAAAGGAAAAAGACCAGCTTTAATCTCATCCACTCCTACTGGAAATGATCTGTGTGCGTGTGTGCGTGCATAATCCCTTATTTGCAAAGGTGGTAGGAGCGCTAGGCGTCCGTCAATCATCCACACGCATCAAGTACGTACGTACCAATCATCCACTTGCGACGGAGGAAGAAGAAAGGAATCACCACCCCTTCAGTTTACCACCAGTCATTAACTTGGTGTCGTCTAATGGAGAATACACGCAGGGATTAGTTACTTAAACCTAACCCAGCTCATTCCGGATGCACACTGCTACAGTAGATACTTAATCCCAGAAAAATTCCTAACCTAGTGGATAACCATGATAAGGCAGTTAATTGGCGGTGTGTTTTGTAATGGTCCAGATCCAGACACCACGTGCTCTGCTATATCTTCTGATCTAGTACTGTCTAGCTAATACTCCTACATTGTTTGCACCCAGTTCGACGAGCATGATTCTTTTGTCTCTGCAGTCAGATACAGATCCATCCTAATCCTAGCTCCACTTCAGAAAGATGCATGTCCAATTTGCAATCATTTACCATAGCATTTCTTTTCTGAAGTAGTATTAATCATAGTGCTATCATACTACTCCCTCTGTCCCAGAATATAAGAACGTTTTTGATACTATGCTAGTGTTAAAAGCGTTTTTATATTTTGGGACGGAGGGAGTAGTTGATAGCTCAGCAGTGACGACCGGACGAGGCAGGTAACATGCAATGAATTTCAAGCCTGGATATATCATACATACGTAGTGGAGAAGAGCCAGACGTGTTCAAAACCAAAACCAGCAACAGCAAGCCCCACGCCACGCGAGCTACCCGAATGGCTCTCCCCGTGGCGGCAATTGGGCGGAGCAAGGTTCAAATCCAGGCGTTTGAACTGGATTAGAGGGAGGGAGAGAGAGGCCCCAGATATCTAGATAGATAGATCGACTGCGTACGTACGTACTAGAATTGAATGGGATTTGTTCGTCCCGGTACGTCCCCTGGTCGTGTCCCCCCATCCACCATGCACGAGATGCCCTGTCCAGGCTAGCACATTTAACCCATCATGTCCGTCCAGCCCCCACAGGCACAGGCGAGCCGAGCACCCGAGCCATACGCGCGCGCCGCTCACTGCACCCTGCACAAGAGACCGTCCGATCTCGTTTTGAAACCCCAGGGTCCGTCTGTCCGTCCGTCCGTCCGTCCGTCTGTAGGTACTGCGTCGCAACAGCTCTGGAACACATGGTAACAGTTGGGGAAGCTGGTTAAAAGGGCTCGCCCATGATATGGTAAACTAGCAGTGCGTCCGTACACTGCCAGTGGTTGTCATCGGATCATGCGCTAGAAAGCCTAGATTGGGTTAGTTAAAAAGGAGCGGAGCTGATCATTTGACGACGCACATAAGCTGGGCCATGTGTGAGTGGCCTCCAGAATCCAGTTGCCTCTGATTTTTCAAATGAGAGATGTGCAGTTTGGGATAAGAAACTGGAGTGCTGCGTCTATCTGCATTGCTCACCACATGCAGGAGCGCTGACGAGGACCCAGATCCGCCTACACCTTATTTTAACCACGGTCAAACCTGGCTGGCATCATCATCATCATTCCATCATCGTGCCACCCAGTTCCATCGGTAAACCAAGATTCTGTAAAAATAAAACCAATTATTATCCCCCTATCGCTTAGAGCATCTACAGCCGGTCACAATTTTTCGACCCTGACGAGCTTTTTAAACGGGCCTCAAATATCCGGCTTGACCGGCACCCCCTCATGTCAAGGCCAAATATGGGGCGAATATGGGGGCGTCCGGGCACGCCCGTCACACCGGACCCGACAGCACGATCCCACCTTCAATTGCACCAAATCTTTCCTCCTCCTCCCGCCATCCTCCAAGCTTTTCCGCGCCCTCGCCGTCCTCCACCCTTGCTTCCCATCCTCATCACCTAGCCCGATCCATCACCGGAGATGTCGTCCAGCTCATCCCTGACCGCCGCGACGGAGACGCAGTCCGCTTCATCCGTTGGCGTCCCTTTTGTCGCCTCCGTCTTGCAATGCGGAGAACGTGGCCCAGAAGTTGCGGTGACGCCGACAGCAAGAGAGGGAGGCGGCGGCGGGCGCAGGGAGGTTCGGACATGGTGAAGCATTTTCTCCTCCGCCGCGCCCGGACCCCCGCACCCCTTCCATCCGAGCGCCGGCACGAATTACACAGTCCGACCCTGTTGGGACAGAGGAGGATTCGACGGCCGGCTGGGCCATTTCGGAGAGCCTTCTGCCGACGCAGATGCCGGCGGTCGACGTATGTGACTTGCCGCAGCTCGTTCGGGATGGGTTGCATGGATTTAAGGATCAAAATTTGAGATATATAGATGTATAACACAATATATGAGGAGCCGGTGGGTGCTGTCTGCGGACGTGCTCGGACGCGTCCGCGGGCGTATAGGGTGCCGGATTTGTCGGTCCGGCTGCAGATGCTCTTGCTATCAATCGAGTGAAACTCCAATGTACGCTAGGATGGCTCCGTGAAAAGCTCGCTGATTGAAGGCACGAGGTTACGCAGCATCGCTTTGGGAACAAGTTAGTACTACCACGATCGATCCTCGTAAATCAGCTTTTCACCCCGCCAGGCCAGCTCATCTCAAACGTTGGGCAAGCAAAGTATTTTCTTTGCCAGGACCAACATTGATGAATGATGATTGCAGAGCATCAGGCTCTCCAAAACCCAAACCCTTGGTGCTAGCGCTGGGAGCGGGAAGCGCGCGTCGCCAGCACAAAACAGGGCCGGACGCTACAGCGGGCTAGCCCTAGGCCGACCAGCTGCAACCCCCAAAATTCCATTCTGCTACGCGCGGACGCTGCCGGTACTACGACCGGACAATAAACGCGCCATGTACGTAGTGCAACGGTACGTGCCTGTGCCTGCGTGCTCGCACTTATTACAGGTGCGCGCCCAGCCCAGCCAGAGCATGCACCGCGTCGCCCGCCGCACATGGCCATGGCCATGGCGTCGTCGCGCCTAAATATATTCCCGTGCAGCCCACCACGTCCCACAGTGGATCGCACAAGGCAAGGCACACGTAGCAGAGAGAGAGAGAGAGAGAGAGCACATGGCAGAGCGATCAGCGGATCGAAGGTCGCTTCTGCTGCAATGCTACTGCTGAGTGCTGGCCCTCGCAGTCGGCAAGGTCGCGCAGTGCTTGACAGGGGCCGATCAGAGCTTGCTCTGACCCGCCGGCGCGGATGGGCAAGGCGGGCAGGTGGCTCCGAAGCTTCTTGCCGGGCAAGAAGGACAGAGGCAAGGACGCCGGGGACCACAAGACCGGCCCCGAGGAGACGCCGCGGTGGGTGCCGGCGTGGAGTTCGCAGGCGTCGGTGACGCCGGCGTCGACTCCGGGGGCCAAGGAGAAGAGGAGGTGGAGCTTCCGGCGGCCTGCGACGGCGGTGGGCGCCGGGCCGGGGAAGGATGCCGCGTTCTTGGAGCCGCGGGTGCTGGACCCGGACCAGAGCGCCATCGCGGTGGCGATTGCTACCGCGGCCGCAGCCGAGGCCGCGGTGGCGGCCAAACAGGCCGCCGCGGCCGTCGTCCGGTACGCCGCGTCCGCGCCGGGGTCGAAGCGCACCGTCATCGGCATTGAGGAGGCCGCGGCCATCAAGATTCAGTCCGTCTTCAGATCCTACCTGGTGAGTCGCGCCGCGTTCGCGTCGATCCCCCGGTTCTTGATCCGCGCGAAAGTCATCGCACATTTGCATTCTTTCTATTTATCTGATGAGAGGCTGCTTGGTTCGTTCCTCGGGATCGACGCGCAGGCGAGGAAGGCGCTGTGCGCGCTCAGGGGGCTGGTGAAGCTGCAGGCGCTCGTGCGCGGCCACCTCGTCCGGCGGCAGGCCAGCCACACGCTGCGCTGCATGCAAGCGCTCGTCGCCGCCCAGGACAGGGCACGCACGGCGCGCCTCCGCCTCCTCGACGACGTCGAGAGGCCCCTCCGCACGCCACGGATGACGCCCACACGCCGCTCGCCGCACCATCCCCGGCTCCGGCAGCATCAGGTGCGTGCGAATGATGGGCCTCTCTTAAACTTTGGCTGGATAATAATGGAGACACACGGACCGAACCATCGAAAAGTCTGGAACTAAATTTCGTTGTGGAATGCAGGAGACGGAGGAGAACATCAAGATCGTGGAGGTGGACACCGGGGCGGGCGACGTGCACTGCACGCCGAGGACCTCCCGGCGCAGCAGCTGCTACGCCACGCCGCTCTGCCGCACGCCGTCCAAGGTGGAGCTGTACCAGAAGGTGTCGCCGACGCCGTCGGCGCTGACGGACGCGAGCGGGCGGTCCTACAGCGGGCGGTACGAGGACTTCTCCTTCGGCACCGCGCGGGCCAGCCCGTACCACCACTACTACGCCTCGGACGCGTCGTGCAAGCAGCCGCAGCAGGGCCACGTCGCCGGCGCCGGCGCTGACGCGGACCACCCGCTCCTGTTCCCCAGCTACATGGCGAACACGCAGTCATCGCGCGCCAAGGCGCGGTCGCAGAGCGCGCCCAGGCAGCGCGCGTCGGTGTCGTCGGCCCCCGAGGCGGCGTCGCCGTGGGAGAGGCAGGCCAGCGGGGGCCGGCGCAGGGCGTCGCTGGAGGGTCCGGCGCAGGCCGCCGCGCGCGGGCTGGCGTCCCCGAAGGGCGGCGTGCGCGTCCAGCGGTGCCAGTCGCAGGCGAGCGCGGCGTGCCCGTGGGGCGTGAGGCTGGACATGTCGAGCGCGTCCGTCCACGACAGCGAGTGCGGGTCGACCAGCACCATGAGGACCGCGGCCACCAGCATGTACTGCTGGTCGGCGGCCGCCAACAGCACCGGCGTCGCGTGACGGCGGCACGGCACACGAGATGTCTGAAATCGAATCAGGCAGCCGCAGAAGAAGTGCTAGTGAGTGATCAGTAGCCTGTATGGACAAACAAGTTGGCACTGAAGTTTCTGTGACTCTAGCTAGTTGACAGTAGAAGAAGCTGAGCATGAAGGCTTCAGACTTTCAGTGTGTGCTAGTGGTCGATCGTTCTAGCAAGGCCTGATGACATTTTTGTGTTTGTGCTGCGTGCCAAGAACATTGCATAAGAGTGTTGTGTTTTTGACTCTTTTTTTTTGTTGGTACCTCGTTTGTGTTTGGATTGTACAACTGTTTGATCTTTCAAATCTGTGAGCAATCAAGTTCTAGTCGTACATTGCAGAGTGAGATTAAGAGTACGGCTGAAGAAGTTCCAGTGTCTCGTTGCCGCTGGCTGCTGAATGTACTACGTATCCCTCGGGTTCAGTTTCTGTTTCTTCGAAATACAGTAGTATCTTGCTCAATGTTTGGGATGCTTTCTACTTCTAAATTCTAATCGGTTCTACGGTAGAGATGATACAATTGATAACTTGTTCAGGGAGGTCATTGAAGCGGTAACATCACTTCAGCCCCCGCGCCGCTCCCTCCCCGGGGCGACACGGGCGGCGACCCCGCTCCTCCCGCAGCCTCCCCTCACCAGCCCCTCTCTCCCTCGCCGTCGCCGGTGACCTCCGGCAGGTAAAGCTTGCGCGGAGCCGGCGGCGGCGGGGTGCTCTCTGGCCGCTGCTCACTCGGGAGGAGGGGATCTCGCATTGCGGGTGGCGGCTGTCCGGCGTTCGGCTCCGGGGCAGCGTCCCTGCTCGAGGCGAAGGCGGTCTTCGGCGTGCGTCGCGGCGTCTGGTCGCGGTGGTGGGCGCACCGTCGCTGTGCGCGCAGTCGTCGGGCCTGTTCGGTCCCGATCCGATCTGGGATCCGCAGGCGGCGGCTGGCGCGGGCGGTGGAGGGAGGCTCGGCTCCTCTGTTGCGCGTCCTGGAGGCCTCCTGCATCGTCTTCTCCGGCTAGGTGCCGTGGTGGTTTAGGCTGGGGCTTCGGCCAGTCGGCTGCCGATCTGGTAGCTCGTCCGGCGAGTTGGGGTGAGGTGGTGGCCCTCCCTCCTTGCTCGGGGCTCTTCTGTGGCGTTGCAGCAACAGTGGGTTGCTGGATCTGGCTTGTTTCGGCCATGTTCGGCTCGTCGGCGTCTAGCCGGCGGCGAGGATTGTGGTGGCTCCTGCTTGGTCATGGCGCGATGGTTTCGTGGGAGGTGTGCGGGTCAGCGGAGGTGCTATGCGTGGGGGTGTGGGTGTGGGTGTTGCTCCGGGCAAAAGCTTGCCGTGCTCTTGCCGGCCGACAGCGTCGGCGTCTGTGGACGTCGTTTCACCTTCTTGGAGGCGCCGCCGTGGAGTCCACCCTTCACGCACCCTTGGATCCAGTTCTTCGGGCGAAAGCCTAAGACCCAGTTGGGTCGGGCGACGGCGCTGGCATTGTCGCTTCCCTCTTTGGGGCGTCGCCTGGAAGAACTTTGGATCCTGTTTGCACGCTCCATGGGTTGGTCGTGGTGGTGCGGCCTGCTCAGGACCGAGGGTGGTGTGTTCTTCTTCAGGTGTTTCTCTCCAGCTGTCCTACGTGTGGTCTCTGGCCTGCTCTATGCATGCTCATGCCCCTGCTCTGTTGAGGCGAGCCTCGGGCTCTTGGTCTCGTCTTGGTTCACCTTTGCTTAAGGACGACGCAATGACGCCTCCCCGACTTGCTAATCGTCTTGAACTTCTGTGGCGGAGCGCTCAGTCAAAGTTCGTGTTAAGCTTTGGCACGAGGTTCGTGTTAAGATTTGGCACTCGTTGATTGTGGATGCTCCTCCGTTGTGCTGTGGGGTTTGATACGCACGCCGGTGCGGTGCGTTAGGCTGTTTGTAGAGTCTTGGTATTGTGATCCCTCGACGCACTCCTCATCTACCTGGTCCTGTTAGTATGCTAGCTAGGTCTTGCCTTATGTTGGGCGTCCTGTTCCTCTCCTTTTCTTGTAACACTCGTTACTTGTCTGGTTTTCGGCTCGGTTTTCCTCATAAACGGGGTCAATTTGTTAAGGTTTTCGATCCGGTTTTCCTTATAAACTGGATCACTCTCCTGGCATTATGGCCACTTTGAGCAATATATTCAGGTGGAGGGACTCCTCCCCCGGTGATTCTCAAAAAAAATTAACTTGTTCATCCATGCTTAACTGCGAAACTGAACCGTAGCACTCCTAACAATGTGCAGCTGTGCATACTCTGCTCTGCTCCTGGTTTCCTGGTTTGAGCAAAACAGGGCAAGTACTTGATACTAGCACAATTCACGTGTGATGCCACCAAGCTACAATATATAAAGGTATAAAAATACGAAGGAACCGTCGGAAGACCCTGGTGGCCCTTGGGAGAAAACATGTTTGCTGCTGAGTTTGAATCAAAGCGTGATCGTGACCGAGTCTGGGAAGCATCACCATGGCACATCAACAAGCATGCAGTGATCTTGGAGGAATTTGAGGAGCACATGCAACCATCCGAACTCAAGTTTGATAAACTACCGGTCTGGATTAGGGTAGTAAATCTGCCCTATAATCTGAGGAACAATTCTTGGGGCTTGGCGATCGCCAAGCAGGTTGACAAGCATGCCTCCATCGTTCAGATTGACCCTGTAGGAGGGTTTCTTCGAGCACGCGTCACAGTTGAAGTCCAGAAACCACTCCGCAGATGGATCCTAATTACATCGGCTAAGAGGAAAAGTACAGATCAGTATGACATTGAATATGAACAAATCCCACATTTTTGTTTCTCGTGTGGCCGCTTGGGACATTCAGATTTATTCTGTCCTAATCCTGGGACTAGGGATGAGAACAGCGACCTCGCGTTCAAGTCAAGTCTGCGGGCCTCGGAGGATCATAGGAAAGGGAACTCGGGAGATAATCCGACGAAGGAGAGAAGCAATACTCAACATAGCACAAAGGAATCTCGCACGTCGAACGCGACACAGAAATATGGGGTGGAGGTGACTTCCCCAGCTAAAACCCCGGTTCAGAACAAGCGCAAGGGAGGACCATAGAACACCCAAGTCTATCGTAAGGTGGTTCCCTCCCCACTAGCTATTACTGAGCATGGCGAGTTGCTACCTCTTGAGCACTGTGTTGGATTTCCCCAAAGAGGAAGGGATGATGCAGCAAAGTAGCGTAAGTATTTCCCTCAGTTTTTTAGAACCAAGGTATCAATCCAGTAGGAGGCTACGCTCGAGTCCCCCGTACCTACACAAAAATAATAGCTCAACGCAACCAACGCGCTTAGGGGTTGTCAATCCCTTCACGGTCACTTACGAAAGTGAGATCTGATAGAGATAATAAATAATATTTTTTTGGTATTTTTGGTATAGAGATGCAAAGTAAATAAAGTAAAAGCAAAGCAATAGTAAAGTGATGGAGATTGATATGATGAGAAAGAGACCCGGAGGCCATAGGTTTCACTAGTGGCTTCTCTCAAGAGCATAAGTATTCTACGGTGGGTGAACAAATTACTGTTGAGCAATTGACAGAATTGAGCATAGTTATGTGAATATCTAGGTATGATCATGTATATAGGCTGAAGGAAATATGCCCTAGAGGCAATAATAAAGTTATTATTTATTTCCTTATATCATGATAAATGTTTATTATTCATGCTAGAATTGTATTAACCGGAAACATAATACTTGTGTGAATACATAAACAAATAAAGTGTCACTAGTATGCCTCTACTTGACTAGCTCATTAATCGAAGATGATTATGTTTCCTAACCATAGACATGAGTTTTCATTTGATTAACGAGATCACACCATTAGTAGAATGATGTGATTGACATGACCCATTCCATTAGCTTAGCACCCGATTGTTTAGTATGTTGCTATTGCTTTCTTCATGACTTATACATGTTCCTATGACTATGAGATTATGCAACTCCCGTTTACCGGAGGAACACTTTGTGTGCTACCAAACGTCACAACGTAACTGGGTGATTATAAAGGTGCTCTACAGGTGTCTCCAAAGGTACATGTTGGGTTGGCGTATTTCGAGATTAGGATTTGTCACTCCGATTGTCGGAGAGGTATCTCTGGGCCCTCTCGGTAATGCACATCACTTAAGCCTTGCAAGCAATGCAACTAATAAGTTAGTTGCAAGATGATGTATTATAGAACGAGTAAAGATACTTGCCGATAACGAGATTGAACTAGGTATTGAGATACCGACGATCGAATCTCGGGCAAGTAACATACCGATGACAAAGGGAACAAACGTATGTTGTTATGCGGTCTGACCGATAAAGATCTTCATAGAATATGTAGGAGCCAATATGAGCATCCAGGTTCCGCTATTGGTTATTGACCGGAGACGTGTCTCGGTCATGTCTACATTGTTCTCGAACCTGTAGGGTCTGCACGCTTAATGTTACGATGACATTTTCATTATGAGTTTATATATTTTGATGTACCGAAGGTTGTTCGGAGTCCCGGATGTGATCACGGACTTGACGAGGAGTCTCGAAATGGTCGAGACATAAAGATCGATATATTGGACGACTATATTTGGACACCGGAAAGGTTCCGGGTGAGATTGGGACAATACCAGATCACCGGGAGGTTATCGGACCCCCCGGGAGGTATATGGGCCTTATTGGGCCTTAGTGGAAAGGAGGGGAAAGGAGCAAGGGAGGGGGCGCGCCCCCCCAAGCCCAATCCGAATTGGGAGGGGGGCTGGCCCCCCCTTTCCTTCCTCCCTCCTTCCTCTTCATTCCCTCTCCTACTCCTAATAGGAAAAAGGGGAGTCCTACTCCCTGTGGGAGTTGAACTCCCCCTTAGGGCGCGCCACCCTCCTTGGCCGTCCCCCTCCTCCACTCCTTTATATACGGGGGCAGGGGGCACCCCACAGACACAACAATTGATCATTGATCTCTTAGCCGTGTGCGGTGCCCCCCTCCACCATAATCCTCGATAATATTGTAGCGGTGCTTAG